GCTGGCTGAATTTGCGCGCTCGCGACGCTAGGGGTCTGCGCTGCATACGCGCGCTGTCGCAGAGAGCGAAGAAATGAGAGAGCAGACTGGCTAGCAGTAGACGTGACGCAATACCCTCGCGACACGGGTTTTCGCCATTTCAATTTTGGCCTGGTTGGGATTGGGCAGACTGTACCAAGCGTGTTCTGGAAATTATGTGGACAATCCGGAGCCACATGGCTGATAAGTCTTCTCAATCAAATCATAAGGAGCAAGAGTATACCTCGCGACTAATACACCAGCACGACCATTCCGATATGGAAGAACAAAGGAGACATAGCAGGCTGCGCATCCTATCGACCAATCCGACTGATGAGCCGCACTCTAAAAATCTTCGAGCGAGTAATCGAAGCACGCCTTCGAAATATCATAAAGCTGTCACCGAATCAGTGCGGATTCGCGAAAGGAGTAGGTACAACTGATGCAATCCACTCCGCTCGGATAGTGATAAAGAAATACAGAGAGAAGCAGAAGAAATTGCATGCAGCCTTTCTGGACCTGGAGAAAGCCTTCGATAAGGTGCCCTATGGAGTCATATGGTGGGCCTTACGGAAACACAGGGTGCCAGAGGAGTACGTTTAGTGGATGAAATTGATCTACCAGAACGCGTAAAGCCACGTGCAAACAGCCGCAGGGCAATCGAAAAAAATTCAAAATCAGGGCTGGAGTACACCAAGGTTCAGTTCTCTCTCCCTTGCTCTTCATCACTGTGATGAACGCCATGATGGAACCGCTTAGACGTGAACCCCTTGGACACTTCTCTACGCAGATGATCTTGTCTTGATAGCAAGTACCAGAAAGGACCTACAAGACGAGGTGCAAAACTGGGAAAACAGGCTAGAGTTGCATGGCCTGAAGCTCAACACCAGGAAGACAGTATATATGGAAGTGGGGAAGCAAACTCAAGGTACCATAAGCATCGACGGTGAAGAGCTAAAGAAGAAAACGTCATACAAGTACCTAGGCAGTCTCATCTCAGCGGAAGGAGGCTTACAAGCCAGTTGAAGATAATTTCAACGAGGAAGAAATCCCTAATGACTCGGCCAATCCAACTGAGGCGTACATCATCTTAAAGCGCCTGCAATACTGAAATCAAATCCGTAGTTTTTAGCTGCGAAACGGTTCTGTATAAGGAGTTATGCGGGGGTTTCCTCTAAGGTGGAAGCGCCCTTCAACATGTCGGTCCATGTCTAAGCTATGTAGAAACACAAAATGCTGGCGACTGGCACAGTTGAATGTGATTTGAATGAAGATTCCATTACTTACTATTACTTCGGTTTTTTGGGAACTTCTAACTTCGATTCGCATTTATAACATCAGAAATTTTGAACTTTAGAGCTCCAAGGTCGCATGCAAGGGATTCGAAGCGTGATCTCCTCCCTATCAATCAAAACACTTACTACTGTGCCAGTTGTCACCAGTTGGCATTAGGTTGTCCGGAAATTAATGCAGGTTTTGAATTCCAACCGCAATAATTCATACACTTCTCATTTCTAAGTAGCTAGCAAGGTACCATTCGATAGAACAAAGCAAGCTCTACAAGAGGGTTATCTTGCTTTAGCAAAAGCTCCGAACCACCACGAGTTTCGAGCCAAAAATCAAAAAGATTCAACTGCCCGAAAAACTGAGAAAAATCGTAACTCAGTTCACAAAAATCCTACAAAAATTCTAACCTGTTCGCGTTAACACAATCCATATAAGGCATCTATATACGCCGTTGCCGTATTTTTGTCCCTGTTAGAAATCAAGAAAACGGATTTTTTTATGCATACCAAAGTGATGCTGTGCCGTTCCCACATAAGTAGATGTATACTACAAACCCGTAGAGGTACAAACGTAAATTTCAGCTCTCTACAAGCTTTAGTTCTCGAGAAATTTGAATTTTAGCTTGGACCACATGACTAGGGAAAACTGTATTCGATATTTCTCGAGAACTATAGCTTGTAGAGATCTGGAAATTTACATTTGTACCTCTACGGGTTAGTAGTACACAACTATTTATGTGGGAACGGCATAGCATCACTTTGGCAAATGAACGAAAATTCCCGTTTCCTTGATTTCTAACAGAGACAAAAATACGGCAACGGCGTATATAGATGCCTTATATGGATTGTGTTAACGCGAGCAGGTTAGAATTTTTGTAGGATTTTTGTGAACTGAGTTACGATTTTTCTCAGTTTTTCGGGCAGTTGAATCTTTTTGATTTTTGGCTCGAAACTCGTGGTGGTTCGGAGCTTTTGCTAAAGCAAGATAACCCTCTTGTAGAGCTTGCTTTGTTCTATCGAATGGTACCTTGCTAGCTACTTAGAAATGAGAAGTGTATGAATTATTGCGGTTGGAATTCAAAACCTGTATCAATTTCCGGACAACCTAATACTTCTCTATAGCGCTCATAGATAAAGGGAGATATGCTGAATGCGCCTCAACTCCAGAGGTAAACAGTATACTTGGGTAATTCGATAATTTTTCATCAAATGAATGAATATCGAATAAATCGAAAATAAAAAATCTCGAATAAACGAATATTGAATAAATTCGGAAAATCAAAAATATCGAAAGAATGAATTTCGAATAAATTCGGAAAACCAATACTATCGAATGAATGAATATCGAATATATTCGAACATTGGAAGTCGAATTTCGAATAGATATTCGAATGATTTATCGAATAACTAAAGCAATCACATCTCAAACTTGCCGACATATCTGGTTAAAGCCGATCCAATCATAATCAGCCCCCTACTATCCCCTATACCAACTCCTAGCTCAAAATTTTCCAAAAATGGCTGATATCAATAAAACAGTTTTTTAAATAGTTTTTTTCGGTTTTAATCAGCACCCTCACTTACCCCTTTGTACCAACTCCCAACCTCGTGGCTCAAAATTTCCAAAAATCGATAAAATCGATAAAGTAAATTTTCATCCATAATCAGCAACCTCACTTACCGCTTGTACCAATTCCCAACCTCGTAGCTCAAGATTTTCCAAAAATCGATAAAATCAATGAAGCAAATTTTTATTTATAATCAGCACCCTCACTTACCCCCTTGTAATAACTCCCAGCCCCCGCAGCTCAAAATTTTTTGAAAATCGATAAGGTCGGTCGGCAACTAGTGTATACATCAGCAAAAAGTCATATTTTACCCATTATTGGACGATCTAAAAAAGCAATATAAATTTTTATGCTGTGCCCAAAAGATTCTTCTTCATATGGTCTGAAAGAGACTGATATACACCAGAATTAACTTTATTTCTTATCAGCATCAACAATGTAAAGGCAAAGGGCTTGCTCTACTTCCTACATGACTGGGATACTTTTCTTCCACGTACTGTAGGAATATATGATGGACATATGCGAAACCTTATACTTCTTCCATATCAGGATTAACAATGTAAAAGCAAAGTGATTGATCTACTTTCTACATATATGGAAAACATCTTCATTTCATTTCATTTCATTTCATTTGTACGCTCAAGGCGTTCCATAAAAAAAAGACACATCAAGAAGTTAGTAATACAGCGGAAACGAACAAGACATGTAAACAAATGCAGACATCATCAAGTCAGTCCGAGTCTGATCCTAATCAGATTAATGTGAGAAGATAAAACAGCTTGCACTGAATATGTTGGTAGGCTAATAGATAAGTATGCAGATGTAGGCATGAGATTTATAACTCTTCTAGATTTAATCTTAAAGCATGTTGGAATATGTATGATATATGGGTATAGGCAAAACACATCAGCATCATCAATGTAACACGGCACTGTGTCTAGATTTCCACGCTTTCTTCGGAAAACTCCTCCTCTAAATCTGCAGATGAAGACTGTTCAGAACTAACGGATGGTGGGTTGGAACCCTCATTACAACCATAACGCTCAACTTCTCTCTGACTCCAAACTTTGCAGGCCCTGAACACTTGCTTTTCATTTTTTTCTTCCCTGAACAAATCAAGTCACCTGCTTGTGTCTTTGTTAGTGTTAGCGTTGATCATAAGGAAAAGCCTGGCGGTTTTTCTTAGCAAACGTTGTCTTCTTTTGTTTCCGAAAATTATCCCGGAGGTGCTCAAATTAGTATATTGTCCGACGCATATATGAAGAACACAAACCGTTGTTGGTGATTGTGCCACCAGGTCAGTGGACCGGATTCAGCATGTGAGCGTGCGTTACCTCGATTCAAATGGATCGAATACTGCTGCAGCTCCATCTAAACGCAATAGACTGGGGGCCTGATAACCATTACCGTGTTTTAAATTACCTGCAGATCTTCTTCCTGCATTTGCAAGGATCTGGTGGGTGGACTTGCCGGTTGCGAAGTGATCAGAGACCACATGTCGGACCCCGTTGGCGTCGAGGAAGGTCTAGCCCTGACATCCTCGCCCGCAGAAGTGTCGCATATGTCCTCTGAAATTCGCAGTATGTTACATTTGCACGAAGCCATCGACTGACTTACTTTTGCACATTAAAAAGTCGCAAAGTTTGAGTCAAAAAGATTCTACGAAAATACTCCTGTTGTTTCCAGCAGTCTTCCTCCGAAAAGCTGGCCTTCTCTTCATGCATTTGATAGAATTTTACAGTGTGATAGTAACGTGAGTAAGGATGTTCACAAAGAGTTCAACTCATGTTTCGGTTTTGGCAATAAGAAGCTTCCCGACTGCAATATACATTGAGCAGCATGATGACTGGTAGCATACCTGGGAAAGTTACAATCGGTTATAATAATTGGAATCCATGGATACCTGATTGGTGGCCGCTTGATAAGGCTGTAGGAACGTTCGCATCGCTTTCAACGTTCGGATCTCTCCGTCTTCCAAAGGCGCCATGTCAAAAAGTGATGTCAGTCTTTCAATAGCCGACATCTTCAACAAACAGCATTGTCAGCAAGATTGACGTCTTATACTTCACCCACCGCGGCAAGAAAATCGCATAACATAAAATATGTGGATGACCACCTCGTTGGCGCATCAGTCATAGGGATGACCGACTTTAGGGAGATTTTCCTCTTCAAGGAGCCTAGAATAGAATATCACTCGAAACTATTTAACTAGGCGTGGAATTTACCTTTTGAAGGTTTTCTTCATTCTTCCACTTTTGTTGAGCTTCGATACAACGGCCTTTACTTTTCTCAGAGCATTCGCACAGACAGGAAGGGTGAGAGTTGTTGATACGGCTAAGTTTATAATATGCGCACAGCAGTGAATGCTAAATTGAATCGATGAGCAAGATTGATGCAGGGATAGGACGTAGCACTCACTACTGTATGCCTAAATCGGACGCAGTTTTTATCGTGACTGTGGCCCCATCTGCGACCATAAATGACACGTTATTCGCGGCAATCCCAAGATTTGCAAAACTTGCTAGAATCTTTGATGTTATCACTTCGCTCGTGTGGCTAAAGAAGAGATAATTGGAAAGCCTCAATCTCCATACCACAGCGTACCTTTCCTCGTCCAATGGGACACAGTCTAATACAACATTGGCCCTTTCTGAGAAGTCCCTCTTCAAAACGTGTCCGGTTATCGCCAGCAGTGCACAGGAGGTATTTTTTCATGACCACTCGTCTACAGTGATCGCAAACTTGACATCACCACAAAAAAGTTTCTTGCTCCCCTCGTCAATGTTATGAACTTCTTTCTGCATCAGTTTCTTCAAAGTCTTCCTCGTTGGGGCAGCGTAGGACGGATTCAGCGTTTGCACGAGTTCCTTGAAGGATTGCAATTCGATGATGTATAATGGAAGCGAAGGGATCTTTTGAAGCTAAGATGGCCATATATGTACTTAAATTCCACAAACGTTACGATACATTGCCTGTTCATCTGAGAATTTCGTTTTGTGTGATATGAGCTAGTCGTGGATGAAGGCATGTGGTTTCCTCCGCGAAGTGAGCACGAATGCCCCTATAACCCCGGGCATACTGCAGGCATTTCAGTGGCAACGTGGTATGGCAATACTCAAATTGTCCAAAACCTATTCTGAAAGTACAGAATGCAGGGCATTTATCTTTTTAGTATGTTGTACACGCTAAACATATGTGGTAAGCTGCCGTTACACCTGAAGACATCTCGTAACTGGCAAATCGCGTACGGCGGTCTAAATCGTCTAATCCTCCACTACAACTGCGATTTTCTTTACTCAATATACACCAATTCGCAAACTCCAAGGTAACGAATAGGCAGTTTTGCAATAATTTATGCGAACAAGAGTGCTCACTAGTATGGGCTTTGTGTACCGCAAGCGTGAGCAATGCAAAGAAAGAAGAACAGCCATTTCAATTCAGTGTGAACTCAGAACATGAGCTTGAATTTGATATCTTCTTTGCTGATTTGGTGCCAATAGCAGTGCGAACAATCTCATTGATAGAAAAAACATCAATTAAAATCTACATATGATTTTTTTACTGTCGCAAGCAATCGGAAAAATGCTACTCTCGACACAGTTCAAAGGTACACCGGTTGCAAAAGATGCATTACCAAGTTTTGCGGATAAAACGCGGACGAAGCGAGCTTGATACTCAGCAGTTGGCTCTGCAACAAAGTCGAATAATCTGAATACGGAGTGCATTCGAATACGGATTCGAATAAACATTCGAATAAAACATTCGAATAAAATCTATTCGAAACCCCGTTTTTTGATTATTCGAGTTTTCGAATGAAATTCGAAATCTCGTTTTTGATTATTCGAGTTTCGAATTTTATTCGAAACCCCGTTTTCTCAATTACTCGAGTTTCGAATGTTATTCGAAAATGGAAGAACTTCGAATGTCGAATTTCGAATACGAATATATTCAAATGTTTTATTCGAATGATCGAATTTCTATTCGATTCGGACCCAAGTATAGTAAACAGCCCTCATAGCTTTTCATACAGAACCGTTTCGCAGCTAAAAACTATACATTTGGAATGAGCATTTCAATCGCTTAAGGACGTTATATGCCTCATCTGGATTGGTCGGGGCTACTCGGCATCCTTCCCCGTAAGAATCATGACTTATAATAAAGCGCGTGTCTGTCTGTCTCTGTGTGTGTGTTCATGTCTGTCTGTCACGAAATTCATAGAGCATTTTGTAGGCAAGGTCTTGAGCTGAAATTTTGGTCATGGCATCCTACCAGCATGTAGGTAAGAAGTGCAAAAGCACAAGCTGATCCGATATTTGGGACCTTTGGAAACTGCGCGTCAGACGGGCCCACGCGGCTTTTGGCACGCAAAACTATGTCATTAATTCGACTTTTTGCGAAGTCATGATTTGCCTGACAAGTACATCTGCGCCTCATGAATTCTAGCCCAAAAAGTGCTCAAAAAGTTTGCTTTTCTGCGACAACAGCGCCAAGAAATGGTGATCGCTTAAACAATCGATTTGGCAAGGTTTTACCTTTAGACTTGGAAAGGTTTTTGCACGGAAATTTAGCTCAAAGTGACTATTATCCTTATGACGACTACCAAGCCAAAACGAATTCAGCAATCTAATCAAATTCGCAGGTGTTCCTTTGCGACAAGTTTTTTTCTTTCAAAATTACCGATCTTACATGGAGATTTCGAAAATGGACAGTTGTTTACTATTCATTTGTGATGTTCAGCATCGCATGGTGGGTTTCAAAGTCATCATTATGCGAACATGAGAAAGGCAAACGGATAGGAGAGTCAGTGCGAACCTCCGCGAAGCGGAGGTGACCCACTGATAAATAATATTGCAAATTAGTCAAAGTATGGCTCTATGACTGCTAAGAAAAACTTGATTTGATACGCTTCGATTGCTTTTCAACAGGGTGTCTCAAAAGATATATCGACCGTTTCTTCAGCAGCCCTCTTGTACAGTAAGTTTTTCTGAGGTCTTTCAAACTTTATGTTGCAGAACTGGCTACAGTTCACATTCAAAGTACAAACGGATCACATTCTTTACTGTGGAATGACGATGAAAACTTGTGGCATACACCATAATAAAATGGCTTTTTGCAAAAGAGTTTTTGAAATATGAGGTTTTTTGCAGGGTTTTTCACAAATGGCGTTTCCGCTAGATTTTTACATGTTTCAAAAGGCAGTGTCTCGCTGAAATTGTGTAGTGCGGTTCTCCACACATTTTGTTCTAGCCGACGCCCCAAGTTCGACTCAAATTAGGTCGCGAAACATTGCCACTCAGAGTGTCCCACAAAGTGTTATTTGACTTGCACTGGCCACCTCCTGGGCCCCCTTACGCATTTCAGCAAATTTCTCCACTGGCGTCCATCCTTATACTGTGTTGCTGCCACTATGGATAGTGGCAGCAGGTGAAAAGTCACAATTCATCCACTTTGCTTTTGATGAGACACCGCCTTTGAGCCTTTAACGTGGCCTAATAGCGTTTTTGAGGAGGGGCCAGGAGAAAGTTGTGGCATACTCGGCCTAAGTTAGAAAGAAGTATTAGAGTAAAATGCGAATTTCATAATTAGAATCAACATCTTTGATTGAAGTGATAAAAGAGATTTTTGATTGCTTGCTTTGCTTTCTGAAACAAGAGCCTCATAAGCTCAGAACGCTTTTCGAAGTTCCTATGTTGATTCGTTTTACACTGTAATATTAGGTTGAAAATTGAGTTTTGCAACTCATTCAATAACTTTCCTCTCACTCAACATGACGCTCTTAAATTTCGCCACTGTGTTGTTCATGATGTAAGCTAAAAACGCAGCTGCTACTCTACCGAATTCTGATGCCGCAGTGAGGCTTACGGTAAGTATATGGTATAGAGGGAAAAATTGTGCCATTTGACAGATTTGGCTGAAACTTGGCATAGGGGGATTATTCGACATGCTGATGACGAAAAATACTGATGTTGTGTGATAAGGGCATTTTTTCAATATATTCTAGGTGTACGATAAAGGGTCTCACCCCAAACAAGGCATGAGACGTTGATTCAACAAATGAATATGATATTCGTGTTCAGCAGGTCAAACAGCCTCAATATGTAAAAGCTTGGAAAATTTTGTCGCTCTGACTTCTTAGTCATTGACGGCTGTCCCCAGCAGTCTTGAGCACAGCTCAAAATTGTGAGAGCGCCAAATCTCGACTTGCTCTAAATTTTATATCTTTTTTGGTGAGACGAATAAGTCAACCTCCAGCAACAATTCGTATACGATTCCGGATTATTGCGCATGGCCTGGTTTAGGCTGCTAAGCTTCGTTTTGGCTTAAAACAGTAGTTATCTTTCGGATATTTTGAAAATCTTGGAATATTCTTTCTTATTGTGGACTTATCTCTTTGTTTATAACACCGTAAATTCTCAAAAGTTCGTTATTTCCGAAGAATGTCTGGAATTTTTTTACTTTGTTTTCAAAATTTAAACAGTTTTATTTTATTGTAGCTTACACTACGGTCTACAAACTGCCACAGTTTGAGTGACTACATCCGAAGAGAGCTGAGTCATGGAAGCAGCTTCAAAACTTAGTTTCCAGCTTAATAAATTGAAGCCGGCACCAATATGTTGTTTGAATGGCTGCGAAAACTCTTTGTATAAAAGCGTTATTAAAAATCAGTGCTTCACCTCTGTTTCGCAGAGGTTCGCACTGGTCATCATGAACCATGGTAAACTCACTCTCTGAGAGCTTGTCTCTCAAATCATTGTTCGGTTGACTGCAACAGAGCCATAGTAAAATGAAACATACTCGCTATGTGAACCTCATATGATGTTTAGTACCGTAAATCATTCCTCACTATAATTTCTTGATAGACAGACTTACAGCCGACAAATAAACGGCTTATTATGAGTCATGGTAAACATTCGAAGCATGTTTTTTGCAACACCAAGTTTTTGTTATTGCTTGCCAGGAAGCCCAAAAACGGCATTTTTGAATCCACCCAACGTTCAGCAAACAAAATTATTGTTACAGTTCTTTTGTTTACCCGAAGAAAAGAAGAAAACTAAAGCATGGATTGCTAAGGATCAGCTTGATACCCATTCGCCAAAGGAGCTTCGGTAATTAATTTTTTTTCAAAACGCAATAATCAGCTTAAAAATTTTTTTGCAACTTTTATGGCAACTCATTTCAGTCAAAGTAATCACCTCAAATAAATAAAAGCGTGATATTTTTGGAATTATTAAATTATTCTGGAAGTTTCCAAGTTTCGTTTGGTTGAACCTTGGCATTGCTGACATAGGTTTCAGTCTTACTATGCCGTATAGGTTTGTTAGGATGGTATATTTATTTGGATCAACCTAACGTTTCTGCGCTTTCGCCGTCTTCAGAGGCCTAAATAAACCCAAAGCATCACCTCCAACACCAGACCATCAGATGTCACCTCTAGCTTGCCGGGTTTCAACTTTGTTTTAGATTCAGTCCGCAAAAACTCTTCAGACAGAAATGAACTTACCGTTATACCGCCGCTAAATGATTGTCCGCACAGGAAGGAATTGAGGCGGACAGAAAACGAATAGTGTAGAAAACAGACAGAGGGAATGCTATCTACTATCTACAGCTCACATAGCTACGAACGGCAGAAAGTCGGCTGTAATAGACAAGCACTCGTTTTTATTATTCATTTCTGGATTCTTAAAGATAACCAGAAAGATTTTAATGCCTTTCTAGCCGAGATCCCCTTCTCAGAGCTTAAGAATTTGCATCTAACTCTAAAATCTGCTCATGTGCTCCGCCTTTATGTCTTACCGGGGGTGTTGCTAAGCTCTTGCTTCTCATGCTTGCCAGATGTTCCTTTAGACGTACGCTTGCATACTTCTGCCAGTTTCGCCAATATATAACGCGCCGCAAACTATGCATTCGAGTTTATATACAACACCCACTTTTGTACACTCCCCTTCTCTACCATACGAATACACTATGCATTGTTCAGCTGCGCATTTCCCATCGTAGAGTCGATTTCCTACGAGCTGCTTTTTGATGTTATCGTTTGGTATGTTAACCAAAATGACTTCAATGAGCAGCTGTGCGCGAGCAATGCACTGGTAAAAGGCTGCTGTAATTTTATCGAGATGAACGGGAGACACGATGGGATTTTGTTGTCGTTTCGAGTGCGGCCAACCTGCGCAGAACCTTTAGTTCGTGAAATTGCGGTAGGCATAAAGGCACTAAAATCTCTCTAGATATCTTCGAAAAACCTAGAAATAAATAATAAAAACGAGAACTTGTCTTTTACAGCCGACTTTTTGCCGTTCGTAGCACTATGTGAGCTGTAGATAGTAGATAGCATATCCTCTGTCTGCTCTCCACAGTATTTCTTATTTGTCCGCTTTGCCACTCATTTCCGGTCACTCTGTCAATTCCTTCCGGTGCGGACACATTTTTCAGTGGCGGTATAACGGTAGGTTCATTTCTGTCTAAAGAGTTTTTGCGGACTGTATTTGGAACAAAGTCGAAACTAAGCAAGCTAGAGAAGACATCTGATGGTCTGGTGTAGGAGGTGATGCTTAGGGCTCTTTTTAGGCCTCTGAGGACGGCGAAGGCGCGAAACGTTAGGCCGATTTGAATAAATATACCATTCTTAGAAACCTATACGGCTTAGCGAGATTGAGACGTATTTTGAAAGCCTTTACATTTCTGCAGCTTGCACGGCTCTTGATAAACAGGAAAGTCAAATCCGATTGAGAAAGATGCATTCTGCAACCAAGAAAATTGCATTGGACTACACAACAAGCATTAGTCCAACCACGCTTCTAATCGGAAGAACCCCGCCCATTCGTGCTCATTCTCCAATCGCCGCTACAAAAACCCCCTCAGGTTTCCTAAACGGGAATCGTCGGGGTTTTTACTGGTCCTCGACTCCATAATAGGAATTAGGGACATGAGAAGGCCTTGGAACGACAAACTGATAAGTCTAGATCTGAGCTGACGACGCATCTAACTACAGACCAACATTTTGAGTCGGTCTTTTGCTACAATCAGTTTGTTGGTGTCCGGAGCAACTCTGTGTAGTCTGGCATTCTTACGAATCTTTTAATTGGTCTAACTTCAAAAGCGAGGATGCACTTCTTGAAGTAGTCTATTTATAATTGTTTTGCGATTTGACCTTCTACTGCAATAAACTGTCTCCTTCTTATTTCTGAGTAAATTCCGTTTGATCAGTAACTTGTATGTTCCAAGTTTGATTCCGGTAAAGCTTGAAGTCAACTTCTTAGAAGTTTTAAATTTCAAGATAGATAAACCGGATCCGCACCCAAATACTTTGCAAATCTTCCGCTCGCTCGCGCTGTGCTTTCCATAAGGGGCACTTTTCGGGGTTAGATTTCAACAGAAAAATAGTAAGCATAAACTGGCGAACATCGGCTTTAGCAAATCCGGGTTCCTTTCAAGTATGTGTTATTATAAGATGTCTCCAAAATATGTATGCAGCTTATTACCAACTATTAGGTAAATTTTTAGAGCTGGCTGTAACCTATACATTTCTGGGAAGAGCCTAGAGAACCTAAGCTTTGTCTAAAGAAAGAATTAAAACGGGAATCTAAAAAAAATTTTTCATGAGTATAGAACAAATTGTCGTTTTTTATTCATCACTGTAGAAATCCTGATCGCGGTCTCTAAATTCTTGGCTTGACCATACGCGGCCCCAGATTCATCTGTTTGAAATCATTGGTTTTGGAATGAGGTAGGGTTGACTGCAACTTCGCAAAGATGGTTTGAACACCACTTTCACTTTTATGTAGAATATTCATGCTAGGCTGGAAATAGAAACAGATAAAATTCTTCGTACTCAAACACTGACATATAGAACCATTCGCGGGTGCATATTGCGCATTTATAGGACGCTTTACAGGCTACCCGATGGTATGTTCGGTTGCTTATCGGGTCATCTGCGGGCATTGTCGGGCGTTTATCGAATACTTATCGGCGCGCTTTCGGGATGGGCATGGCTTCGCCCGTGGGTGACCGGCAGGTGCTCGCCATAATCGTCTGAGTAATAAGCAAGAAAAGGCGTTTTTTTTCTAGCTACTAGCAAAAAGGAATAAATCTGCATAGGAAGTTAAGTGCACTCAATAAGCTGTTTTCAAGGTTAATGTGTTAAGTGATGGATTAATGCAGGAAAAGTGCAATAGACAAAGTGCTTGCTGTCTCAAATAACCTTAACCCATTAACGACGATGTAGACCATTGCCATCCGCTTTTCTTCGCAAGGTACTTGGCACCTCTAACAGTCCCTTAAAGGGGGAGACGGCCCTTCTGAACCGCTAGCGTTAGCAGCCTGATTAGTGCGCGGCCCTTTATTGATCGGCGCTGCCGCGGCGCTTGGGTAGGCGAAAGCTATGCTGTTGTTAGAGACCTCTGAATTTCCCATGAAACTCAAAAATGTTATACGTGGTCGGCTAAGGTAAATTCTTCAGCTTACAAGTGCAGACTTCATGGTTTTTGAAAGTGGGAAGGGCGAAGAAATCACGAAAGGTCAGTAAAAAACGTACAACTTTTTTCCAACTTTTTGTCTTCATAATTCAAACATCGTCACTATCATTATTTGTGTGCCTTGCTTGCTTTGTGCTCAGAGATATTTGAAAACTCTGAGAGGTTATAAGAAAGACAGAGTAATAAGCGTCGCCTGGGCAGAGTAATTTGCGCTAGAACGAAGCGGTTTAGAAGGGCATACACCCCCTTAAAGGACATCACACCTTCTTGGGGCCAAAGGGCAGCTCCGTCTATCACTCCTCCTTTTAAGTGCTCTTATTTGAATTCTGCACACGCACTGTATGACGTGCTTCATTGTATTGGAAAAGATAATCAAACTGAAATCGAGATACAAAAAACTTTTTAAGTCTCTATAAGGAATTAGAATCCGTAATAGACTGCAGACTGATCCAGCATTACGAGTTATGTTTTACTCATGTTTTCAGATGAAATGACACTCCCACAAAAACTTGTAAGAGCTTGCGCTTGAGTGTGTTTGTGAAGCATATTGTTATTGATACAAATCAAGCAGAAGTTATGAGTCTTCTAATCACAGTATATAGCAGAGAAGTTAGTCAATTTCACGCATTCTAAAAATCATCTAAGAATATAGCGAATTAGAAAGCCTGCAAATATAGTGTCGTAGTTGAAATCTTATCCGACTTTTCAATCACTGCGACCAAATTCTGGTATTCTAGTACATCGTTTTGGAAAATATTACACTTGAAAAATTTTTTTTTGATAATTGGATCTTATCGATCATTAAAGTAGTTGAAATGTGAAACTCACAGATACTGGCAGACGAAACTAGGAAAGTGTACGTGTTCAAATATTCTGGTTATTGTGGGAATTGTTGAGTTGGTTATCTGGGAATTCTCATATACTTTAAAATAAATCCTTTTATCTTTTCTGAGAATAATATATGGATCCTCACTTTAGAAGGATAATGTAACAGAATTTTTAGGCCTTTACTCAAAAAAAATGGTGACTATGATCTTTTTCAGTGTTTCTCTCTTATCACCCTTGATATCTGGATCTAGTTTTCGATGCTTGCACTCCTCACAAAGAGAGCAGTAAATGGGTGGAGCAATGGGCGGGCCTGAACTCTGTGGCGCAGGGGTGCTAGAGCCCTCCTGGATGCAAATGCTGGTTCGAACTTACAAGGGAGGTGTTTTCGGTCGAAGTGGCCTTTTCAAATGAAATTGATACGACTATAAAGAGCATCAAACGCTGGTTCCAAATGGATAAAAGTTGTTATAGTTAGTTATATAGTATAGGTATATAGTTATAGTATAGGTATAGTATATATATAGTATGGTATATATATGGTATAGTATAGGTATAGTATAGGTATATAGTTATATATATTGTTTAAATAAAGTGCTTTGATAATCAACATTGGACCATTTGAGCAATTCTGACGAATCTTGTCCTAAATTTGCATTTAATTTCTCAACTCAAAAAACGCTCATAACTCGACGTCTAGGGGCGCTCGGCAGATAACGAAGACAGATTTGGAATCAGCGTTTGATGCTCTTTATAGTCGTATCAATTCCATTTGAAAAGGCCACTTCGATTGAAAACACCTCCCTTGTTAGTGCAAGGAAGGGTGCTAGGAACTGCACGTCCTCCATGAGACCATCGCTGGCCCACAAATGTTGCAACGTCATCCTTTGTAAGTCTAGTATTTCTTCTATGGATTTTTTCCCATTTTTTGCACTCTTGGGACCTATAGGCTTTAGTTTAAAAAAGGTGTATAGTTGTTTACAAAACAACCTTGCATTTCTAGAATAAGCACAAAACCTTTCCACGCCGAAAGTGTTGTGCAAAACCGTCCCACAGCGCCGCCACGCACAATTAGGTGTCGTCGTCATTGGGTAAATAAGCAGTTAATTTAATGGGAACTGTGCCACAGACTGTGCATCATTATTCTGAGATGTTTTGTGACACATTCATCAAAATTTCCCGAGTTTCTTCTTCTGTGTAAACATGGTACGACTGATTTGCATGACTCAGCACACCTCTTGAGAAAAGGAAAGACTGACTTTTTTGCTTGGTAAATACTTCGCTCACTAATTTAGCAAATAAGATCAAAATGTTTGTGGATTACCTTGATATTACCTTGGCAAACGAGTTGGTATGATTGCCACTCCAAAGATTACACTAGCTTAATATGATCTTACTCATATATGAGTTATTTATTCTCTACAATCCTTACTGCTATCCATTTGAGTCACTGCACTCTCCTCGGCATACTGGTTTGGTGAGATTAAACAGTTTATCAACGATCAAACCGTTTGCTTGTTTGAATCAAAATCGCTTTGCTCGCAAAAAAGGGGGCATGGGTACCATCTCCATGAAACACACTAATTCAGTTCTGTTTACTACAGTCTTAGAGCAGTCACAAACAGGCTTTCATCACACTTCCAATAATCTACTACGAATGCTTAGACCCAAATTACATGTGAATTATCGTGGTACTAGAGTATGAGTAACTGTGTATTTTTGTCTTTTTATGGAACGCCTAGAGCGTATGTAATAAATAATTATAAATAAATAGATATTTGAATCGTCAAGATCCACTGGTCAGTATAAATTGTGTGCATCACAAAAATCAAGGCCCTATCTATACAAGAAACTGATCGCGGAAGTATCACAGACCGCACCGGCACTTTGGTAAAAAATGGTCTATAGATAATGCTTAGATGTACCTTTATGAGATGATTTCAAGCTGCTCTTCCTAACTGGTGAACCATTCTTTAAGGAGAGTTGCGTACTTAAAAATGTTGAATTCGTAGGAAAACAGCGAGTTCAGACTTTGGCCTGAGAGAATGTAATTGGCTGATAATGATCGTACCGAAAAGAACAAAGAAGAAACGCTACCATAAAATATAGATAAGGCTCCCGCCAGAGTGCCGAAGTTATGCCAGCGCTACGCCAGCATTTCGATCGATACATGTGTATTTCGTTGGCGACGTCAGCTAGCCCCGCCCCAACGAAATACACGTGTATCGATCGAAATGCTGCGTAGCGCTGGCATAACTTCGGCACTCTGGCGGGAGTCTAAGTGTCAGGGATTGGCACAAGATGGCTTCTCGAACTTGCAAAATTCCTCTAACTTTCGCAGAATTTTACAAAGTTTCCTTTGACCGAAAATCGAAAACGTCGACTAGAATAACTTCCTAACTTTTGCTTTTTCAAATCGCAAAACCTCCTGTTTGCTTTTGTCCCAAAAATGATATCCAGCTTGCTTATAAGCTACCTGTGCCGAGCTTTGATAAATGTTTTTGAAGCAATGACCCATGCTTGTATGTTACTGTGTGTTATGTGCTTGTATGTAACTCAAACTTGGACTTTGAATACTTATAATTTCTTTTGGAGAGGCGAGCAGGCACGGCAGGCACATAAGGTAGTTTTGAACTTATTTTATCAAACTCAACTAAAATTCTGCTTCTCACTAGTAAGAGAGAAGAACAGTTATTATTAGTTTGTTGCTTCTCTCAGACAAAGTAAAGGATCTCACCATAAGACCCTCTCCCAAGTCAGTTGCCACTTGACATTCTTTTCTGTGAGACTTCGAATATCTACTAGTCAGCAGTCGCTTGATGCTTGAAGAATTTGAACAAAATGTCTATCTATACAATGTCTATGTTGTCTGTGTCTATGTTGTTAGGTCGTAACATAATTTTCGTGACACTGTTTTCATCTTTTCTTTAGAAAACGTCGAAATTTCAAGCAAATTCTAATTTTCGGCACATATGAGCAATAGGCAAAGGGCTGTATTGATCATTTTCATTTCCAGATATATAAGACAAGTCCTTAACGGCACTTCAATCTTCACTTTTTTTATTTCGCCCTTTAAAATTCTCATTCTTAGCTCTTAAGCTCTTATTTTAATGGTTTTCCGGGAACATCAATTTGATATAAGTAGTTGGAAACTCTAGGCTCTTCAATAACGCAAGCCAGAAATCTGCCAAAAATGATTTAGAAGAACTTTCAAAAAATTCAAAAAAAAAAAATCGTATGCGGCTGTACATATTAACAAACCACAACCCCCATTCAACGAAAATGAGGGAAAAATTTCAAAGAAAGATTTGAGATTTTTTCTCCAAATGTAATAAGGTCATTTTACGCCTATTTGATAACTTATCAAAAAAAAATTGGCTCATGAAGTGCACAAAACTGAATGATCAGAAAAAATTGTAATTCAGGGTCAACACACCGCTTGCAAATATGGTAGAATTCAGTGAAGCTTTTCACTGCAGTCCAAATTCTGCAATGAATTCAGCAGTACGACGATGCGAGATATTTCTTTAAACGACTCTAATCGAAGGCATTAAAAATCTTGATGTTTTTCTATGAATCTTCATCTGACGAGCAATAACATTATCAGAAAAGGTGCTGAAAAATTCAACATTGTCTCTTTGCCACTGTTGCGACCTGGTGCAAAGTGATGCGAGCTTGATTAGGAGTGATTAATGTTAGAACCCTTTTGGAAAATCTATGTCTTCCGGATGAGAATTTTGTATAGTGTAGAATATCTTTGAATCCATGTGTATTATCAATTTGATCTCCTGACTACCCTAAACAAGCGAAGGACAGCCACTTTCTGTACCACAAATGATATTGGTTATCGATCATAATGTTGAGGATGAGATCCGCACTTCCATATAAGTTGATTGCAAATGAGAAGATTGATGACAGTATGACGAAAAATGTGCTGTCATGCTCGAAATGTGAATTAAAAGCGTCAGCTTTCTATAATTAAAAGTAGCAAAAAGCGATGCAGCGCTTCTCGTAAACAGGACAAAAGGCACGTTAGCAAAGTATTATAGTAAATGTTTTTGCACGTTTTCAATTTTTGCCATATTCTTAGAGAGAAAGAACACCAGATGGGGCTGCAATACTCAACTAGAAGTAAAATAAATATGCTCAAGTGTCTAATCTACAAGAACACTATATGTTTTTGAACAAACATTGTGTTGCCCTCAAGCTTTTTGCTACCAGTGTATCGATATGATTACTGAAGTTCAACCCACTAAAAATTAGAACTTCATGGTCGCGCGCTTGCTCAGCGCTTAACATCGGTCCAAGATCCTTGTTATCAATTCAAGCCATGCGCCTCTACTGGAATGAAGTGACTCTTATAAAAATTCACTTTAAGGTGCCAATATCGACTCCATTCAAACATTCGCTCAACATCTTCGTTAAGAGCATTTTGAACTTCAACTTTATCATCCCCGCCATAAATTGCTGTGACTTTGACATTATCAGTATAGGCATGGACGAATATTCTTGTATCTGTTTTCAAAAAAGCGGGAAGATCATAGGTGTGAATGAAGAAAAGTCTAGGGAAGAAAATGCTTCTCTGAGGTACACCGGAAGGAAATTTTTCAAGAAAAGGAGAATTCTGAGAAAAACGCACTATTATATTCTATCACTGAGGTACGGGAGAAACCGAGTAAGCGAGTTCCCACGCAACCCTATACTATGTAATCTCAGCAAAAGGCTTTCGTGGTAAACTCTATCAAAAGCTTCACTAGAGTCAAAGTAAACCACATCAACTTTTTTACCTTGGCTCGTTGCATTATCATAGATGGTTACTGTCTACTGATTATGTACAAGTGGAACAGCCTGGGGGGAAACCGTACTGGTCTGTAGAAATAAGGTTGATACGCTCGACTCACTCAAGCAAGTACTTTTTGATAAAATTTTCTAATACTTTATAGGCAAGTGGTTCGGCAAAACCAAACATCTGGAAAAATATGGAAGATTGCTTGCACCCCAAACATGAGAACGGGGCAGTTCCGAGCGCACAGCATGCTGCTTGTGCCTAGAAAATTGGCCCTAAACCCGCGCAAGCCTTTCTTGCACGCGCTCGGTCAAGTTTGCGATAGCTCTCATACCGTCAGGAACAGCATACCGCAATGATATGAACATGAGGGTCCCACAACGACTCTACGTCTCTAACCATGGCGGGAAGCATCGCACTCGTTCAAATTAAAATTAGAGGGCCTTGGAAATGCTTGTTTTCGCCATTTTCGCGCGCTTCAGGGTGGATTTCGGAATCAGAACGTCGAATTACTCCAGGTAAGCGAAAAAACCACAGGTCGAGGATTTGCCGAGCCACTGCTTTTAAGTGGGTCTCGCAGTATGCTAATCGGGCGATGGTTCGATATGAAATCAGATTCTCCTCCTTTTGGAAATGGCTTACAATGATGGAAAAGGTATTTCCCACGTCATACGTGATATATTGAAAATCTGTGTTGAAAGCTAAGAAAGCCGCGCTGCAAAAGTTTTGAAAAACATCTGCGGTTCACCATCTGAAGTGACCGATTGTGTGGGTTGAGAATGCTTGTAAAACTTCGGGTGTAAAAACAGGCTATTCAAACTCAAGATTTGTAAATTCAGTTCGGCTGACAATTGATTCACAATGCTTTGTAAATGTGCTTTCAAAGAAATTTGTAAAAGCCTCTGCTTTCCCAAGCCTGTACTCTATTTTGCTCCATCGTGTCCGAAAAGCATTGGTGAAGCAGGTAAACACTTCATTCTATGTCTGATATAAGAGATGATATCTTTCATACACAGGGTGTCCTAAAATAATGTGCACACTGTTTGATTTTATATAATTCTCTTATTATGAGGTCTTTCGAGAAGCGGTAAGCGCCTTTTTGTAGACCTGGCTTCAACTTAGATTCACAGTATAGAGCGAATCGTCGACCGCTTTTCTACTGTAGGATTACGGTAGAAACTTGGAGGGTTTTGGGCCATAAAAGGCCATATTTTGCTTCAGAAAGGAATCATGACAGCTTTTTATACTAGACCAACTAGAGTTGCTGATCCTAATTGTAAAGTTCCCAACTTATTATGATGCTTCACTGAAGAATTATGCGAGGTAAGCAGTAGCGACCATTTTCTCAGTATTCCTAAAAAGTGCGGTTACACCGTTTAGAAAGTTTCGCAATCTTGTGAATAGTTGAGCATTAAACTCAGCGTCCTTAAAAACCCTATTACACAAGTTTTCACATCTTTTTGAAATTTTTTGAAACGGCAACTTTTTCCACAGTGACACCATATGTTCCAAGTCTCTACCGTAATCCTACAGTAATGAAGAGCGGTCAATGATTCGCTCTATACTGTGAATCTAAGTTGAAGCCAGTCTACAAAATGGCGCTTACCGCTTCTCGAAAGACCTTATAATAAGAGAGTTATTCAAAATCAAACAGTGTGTACATTATTTTGGGACACCCTGTATTTACTATTGGCAAGTCTTTCGATTCTTTGGTTGCATATCTCCTCAAATGATAGTCGAATCTTCATACTTTTATCTTTGTAACGTAAGCAGTGTTAGAGGTCAGCCGAACTGTAAAATACCCTTCTATTTTCAAAAAAATTGAGAATATGAGTTTATCTAACGGAAGTATTGGGCCTTTGTCCTTCAATAAAAAGACTCCTTTTTATAATGTCATGCGAAATATAGAGGAAACGTCTATACAACGTACATCCTCCACTTTCTCGCTCTGCACTTCCCATAACAGGCACTTTTCAAAGTTAGAAATCGAGAGATAAGCAAATGATAAGCATGAACTGGCGAACATCGGCTTGGGCAAATCCGGGTTCCTTTTACATATGTAATACTATCGTCGATTCGTTGGCCGTACGGACTGCTCAAACGCTACGGACCACCGCGGCGCGGTTGAAATGTTGCGAGAGCACGATTTTAACAATGGCGAGTTTGTATCGAAGCAAGCGTTTTACCTCGCGGCGCGTGTTCCGCGGTTATGTCCAGTCCGTAAGTCAACGAATGAACGATACAAGGTGTCTCAAGTATGTATGAAGATCAATATCAACTACCAGGTACAATTTTGTAGAGCCGGTTGTAACCTGGACAGTTCCGGGAAGAACCCAGAGAACCTAAGCTTCGTCCAAGGAAAAAACCAAAACGGAGAATCTAGAAAAAAAACTTTTTTCATGCAGTATAGAACGAATCGTCATTCTTTATTTATCACTGTAGATAGAAAGTGTGAAAAAGACAGATATATTCAGATATCAACAACTACTTAAGCAAGAAAAGACGTTTTTGTTATAGCTGCTAACAAAAAGGCATGACTCAGTACACATTTTGGAAAAGGAAAGGCAGATACAATACCGATAATAATTCGTCAAAAAAGTCGCCAGAGTGCGGCGCACTCCGCCACACTCCGTCGCACTCCGGCGCACTGCGCCGCACTCCGCCACACTCCGACGCACTCTAGCGCACTCCGCCGCAGGCCGGCGACTTTTTTGACGAATTATGAGCGGTATTGTAATTACCTAAACCGGGTTTTTTGACCATAACTTGCTTCAAACTGCATATGAAGAGCTGAAAAAAATAAGGTGTGTATATGTGTGCGAGACGTGTCTAACATGATTTTTGGGGGAATTACGGAGCAACATTGGAGGTGCCGTTTTTACGGCCTGAACATGCATGTTGGGAGGCTAACAACTCTGTGAATATTACAGCTACGAGGCTGGAGTTTGTTTTGTTCGACAGATCTCTGAAAATATGATTCTTATAGAGGAGATCGTAGAATAACATGTTTCCAATAAAAGTGCCTAATTGACAGCTGAACTTGGGAAATCTGTCAATAAGTGCGAGTTTGCGCCCTTATATCTCTGCAAGTTGTAGGGTTGGGGTAATCTCATGTGGTCATTGATATGTACTTTTGGTAGCTCTATTTTTCTAGGGGTAGCTCGTGCCCATAGCTTCAGCGTAGGAGGCGCTATATAAAGGCGAGGATGCATATTTTGAATTTTATCTCCGTGGAGAGTAGGAATGACAGGCTGGGATGGCCATGTTTCAGTTTGCATTCGAGGGGGACACCATATATAATTCGAAGGAAATCCAAGGGCTCCGTCTGTGGGAGCCCATCTATAAAACTTCCCGGATGTTTTTTTTTAGTTCAGGGTCTCGCAATTTCTCACTTTTCTCCCCCTCATTTTTTTCTCTCTTTATTTCTGCAGCGAGTGTGATAGTTACCCGCGGCCATCTGGACCTGGTTAGGGGGATAAAAACGGCTAGAAAGGGGGTAAATCGGGCTAGAAAAACGCGATTTTCGCTTGTTTTTCCTTATTTTTTCTTAATTTCTCTTATTTTCTTCAATTTCGATCGTGATGTGGAGTATAAAGTGGACGGAGCTTGCTTGGAGGAGTTTCAGTTGAATAAAAGCACTGGAAATGAGCTTATTATGGGGTTTTTCGAATTTTTCGCTTAGTTTTTCGATAATTTTACCGATTTCCGAGATTTGAAACCTCCAGAATGTCGATTTTACCTTTTGTCAATTTTCGGGATCTCGCAAGCTTCAAAATATCGATTTTAACAATTTTGCCGATTTTTTGGATATCGATTTTTGTCAATTT